TAAACATGGGAGATTGTTGAGAAATTATGTGAGATCTTTGTTGAAGCAGGTTAGATCGCTGATGAAGCAAGTGATATTTGTTATGAAGCAAGTGAGATCGTTGATAAATTAAATGAGATCGTTTATGAAGCATGTGAAATCGTTGATGAATCATGTGAGATCGTTTGTGAAGCAGATAAGATCGTTGTTGAAGCAAGTGATAATTTTCATTAAGCATGTGAGATTGTTGATGAAGCAGGTGAGATTGCTGTTGAAGCAAGTGATATTTTTCATGAAGCAAGTGAGATTGTTGATGAAGCAAGTGAGATTGGTGATGAAGCAAGTGATATTGTTGATGAGGCATTTGAGATCGTTGATGAAGCATGTGGGATTGTTGATGAAGCATGTGAGATCATTGATGAAGAATATGAGATCGGTGTTGAAGCAAGTGATATTTTGTATAAAGTAAGTTAGATTGTTGATGAAGCAAGTTAGATTGTTAATGAAGCAAGTGAGATTGTTGATGAAGCAGATGAGATTGTTGATGAAGCAGGTGAGATTGCTGTTGAAGCAAGTGATATTTTTCATGAAGCAAGTGAGATTGTTGATGAAGCAAGTGAGATTGTTGATGAAGCAGATGAGATTGTTGATGAAGCAGGTGAGATTGCTGTTGAAGCAAGTGAGATCTTTGATAAAACATGTGAGATTGCTGAGGAATTATGTGAGATCGTTGTTGAAGCCGGTTAGATCGCTGATAAAGCAAGTGATATTTTTTATGAAGCAAGTGAGATCGTTGATAAATCATATGAGATCGTTTATGAAGCATGTGAGATCGTTGATGAATCATGTGAGATCGTTGATGAAGCAGATGAGATCGTTGATGAAGCAAGTGATAATTTTCATTAAGCATGTGAGATTGTTGATGCAGCAGGTGAGATCGTTGATGAAGCAGGTGAGATTATTGAGAAAGCAGGTGATATCTGCTTAGGAGCAAGTGAGATTGTTGATGAAGCAGATGAGATTGTTGATGAAGCGTGTGAGATCGTTTATGAAGCAGGTGAGATCGTTGTTGAAGCATGAGATATTTGTTCAGGAGCAAGTGAGATTGTTGATGAAGCAGGTGAGATTGTTGATGAAGAAGTTGAGATTGTTGCTGAAGCAAGTAAAATTGTTTATGTAGCAAGTGAGATCGTTGATGAAGCAAGTGAGATTGTTGATAAACTAGTGATATTGTTGATGAGGCAAGTGATATTGTTGATGAAGCATGTGAGATTGTTGATGAAGCATGTGAGATCATTGAGGAAGCGTGTGAGATCTGTGATGAAGCATTTGAGTTCGTTGATGAAGCGTGTGAGATCGTTTATGAAGCAGGTGAGATCGTTGTTGAAGCAAGTGCTATTGTTGATGAGGCAAGTGAGATTGTTGATGAAGAAGGTGAGATTGTTGATGAAGCAGGTGATATTTTTATGAAGCATGTAAGATCGTTTATGAAGCAAGTGAGATGGTTGATGAAGCAGGTAAGATCGCTGTTGAAGCAAGTGATATTTTGTAGGAAGTAAGTGAGATTGTTAATGAAGCAAGTTTTATTGTTGATGAGGCAAGTGAGATTGAAGATGAAGCACGTGATATTTTTTATGAAGCAAGTGAGATCGTTGATGAAGTATGTGATATTTTTTATGAAGCAAGTGAGATCGTTGATGAAGCAATTGAGATCGTTGATGAAGCATGTGCGATCGTTGATGAATCATGTGATATCGTTTATGAAGCATTTCAGATCGTTGATGAATCATGTGAGATCGTTTATGGAGCAGGTGAAATCGTTGTTGAAGCAAGTGATATTTTTTATTAAGCAAGTGAGATTGTTGATGAAGCAGGTGAGATCGTTGATGAAGCGTGTGAGATCGTAGATGAAGCGTGTGAGATCGTAGATGAAGCATGTGAGATCTTTGATGAAGCAGGTGAGATTGTTGAGAAGCAGGTGAGATCTGTTAAGGAGCAAGTGAGATCGTTGATGAAGCAGGTGAGATCGTTGTTAAATCGTGTGAGATAGTTGATGAAGCAGGTGAGATCGCTGTTGAAGCAAGCGATATTTTGTATGAAGTAAATGAGATTGATGATGAAGCAAGTCTTATTGTTGATGAAGCAAGTAAGATTTAAGATGAAGCAGGTAAGATTGTTGATGAAGCATGTGATATTTTTTATGAAGCAAGTGAGATCGTTGATTAAGGAAGTGAGATCGATGATGAAGCAGGTGAAATCGTTGTTGAAGCAAGTGATATTTGTTAAGGAGCAAGTGAGATTGGTGATAAGGCAGGTGAGATTGTTGATGAAGCAGTTGAGATTGCTGTTGAACCAAGTGATATTGTTTATGAAGCAAGTGAGATTGTTGATGAAGCAAGTGAGATCGTTTAAGAAGCAGGTGAGATCGATGTTGAAGCAAGTGATATTTGTTAAGGAGTTAGTGAGATTGTTGATGAAGCAGGTGAGATCGTTGATGAAGGAAGTGAGATTGATGATGAAGCAGGTGATATTTTTCATGAAGCAAGTGAGAATTTTGATGAAGCAGGTGAGATTGTTGATGAAGCAGTTGATATGGTTGATGAAACATATCAGATTGTTGATGAAGCAAGTGAGATCGTTGATGAAGTTAATGAGATCGTTGATGAATCAGGTGAGATCGTTGATGAAGGAAGTGAGATTGATGATGAAGCAGGTGATATTTTTCATGAAGCAAGTGAGAATTTTGATGAAGCAGGTGAGATTGTTGATGAACCAGTTGATATGGTTGATGAAACATATGAGATTGTTGATGAAGCAAGTGAGATCGTTGATGAAGTTAATGAGATCGTTGATGAATCAGGTGAGATCGTTGATGAAGCATGTTAGAATTTTGATGAAGCCTGTCAGATCGTTGACGAAGCATGTGAGATCGTTGATGAAGCATGTGTGATCGTTTTTGAAGCATGTGATATTTTTAATGAAGCATGTGCGTTCGCTGATGAAGCTAGTGAAATCGTTAATGAAGCATGTGAGATCGTTGATGAAGCGTCTGAGATCTGTGATGAAGCATTTAAGATGGTTGATGAAGCATCTGAGATCATTGATGAAGCAGGTGAGATCGTTGTTGAAGCAAGTATTTTTTTATGTAGCAAGTGAGATCGTTGATGAAGCATAAGAGATGGCTGATGAAGCAAGTGAGATTGTTGATGAAGCAAGTGAGATTGTTGATGAAGCGTGTGAGATCTGTGATGAAGCATTTATGTTCGTTGATGAAGCGTATGAGATCGTTTATGAAGCAGGTGAGATCGTTGTTGAAGCAAGTGCAATTGTTGATGAGGCAAGTTTGATTGTTGATGAAGAAGGTGAGATTGTTGATGAAGCAGGTGATTTTTTTATGAAGCATGTAAGATTGTTTATGAAGCAAGTGAGATCGTTGAAATATCATGTGACATCGTAGATGAAGCATGTGAGATCATAGATGAAGCATGTGAGATCTTTGATGAAACATTTGAGATCGTTGATGAAGCAGGTGATATTGTTGATAAAGCGGGTGAGATCACTGTTGAAGCAAGTGATATGTTGTATGAAGAAAGTGAGATTGCTGATGAAGCAAGTCTTATTGTTGATGAGGCAAGTGAGATTGAAGATGAAGCAGGTAAAATTGTCGATGAAGCATGTGACATTTTTATGAAGCAAGTGAGATCGTTGATGAAGTACGTGATATTTTTCATGAAGCAAGTGAGATCGTAGATGAAGCGTGTGAGATCGTAGATGAAGTATGTGAGATCTTTGATGAATCATTTGAGATCGTTGATGAAGCATGTGAGATCATTTATGAAGCAG